TTCCTCATAAAGGGCAAACTCCCCTAGCCTGGCGTCGGATGGCCTCTTCGTCGACATCGGCAACAATAACTCTATTTCAGCAGGCACCTGGTATTTTTCGCGAATAGCCTCCAAATCCGCTGCAATAACCGTTGATCTATCTGCCTTTGTTTGCCAGTGATCTAGTTGTGCCTACCTGATTGGCTTTGGAGCTGCTATCATGGTGGAACCATGGGATCGTACCACCGACTCCCCTACCCTCTCCATCCTATATTGCTGTGCTAACTCCACTGCATCATCATCACCAAGTGGATCCACCCTGACATTCGCAGCTTTTTCTTGGGCCATTTCTATGGTATGTCTGCGAATCGCTTTAGATGCAGGTGCAAGGAAATTGAAAAAGTGTTGCAGAGGTGTATCGTGAGCAACAAAGGAATTCACACTTGGAATATTTTGATTTTTCGTAAACAAGTAGGTGAATCAAATAATGCCAAAAGCTCACGGTTTGCCCGTATTCCAAGGATCCCAATTAATTTTTGCCAGTTTGAAAACTTTTCAAATCATTCGCCAAAACTGTCTTTTCAACACCCATAATGACCTATCGTTTTATTTCTGATCTAACGCCTAATCTCCTCTCCCCCCGCGGGATGCTGCCACATGTACGACCACGATCCACTGTCTCCTCCCCTTACCCTGTCTTTTCTACTTCAAATCACCACATGACACGCCGCCTCTCGAGCCCCACGCCCCCCACCTCTCCCTTCGCGGTCGACCCTCATCGTGGTCGACCTTCCCACTCGGTCATCCTTCGCGGTCGGCCCTCCTGGTGGTCAACCCTTCCACTCGGCCAACCTCCGCGGTCAGCCCCCCTCACGGTAGGCCCTCCTCGTGGTCGACCCTCCCACTCGGCCAACCTTTGAGGTCGGCCCTCCCCGTGGTCGGCCCTTCTACTCGGTCACCCTGCACGATCGGACCACCTCCCGGTCGGTTCACCCTCTCGGTCACCCCTGCCGGTCGACCTCCATCTTGCCAATCCCTAACACCCTCATCTTCTTCATTAGTATTCCCTTCGTTGGACTAAAGCTGCACTCCGGAATGGGGGACTATTGACGTATATAAGCCCATAAAGGCCATGAATCACTATGAACAACCCAAGCCCATCACTTGGAGCCCAATACATAACCTAGCTGGTGAGGTCCAGGACAGCTGGAGTCCAACATGGCATAAAGAGCTAATGACATTCAGACACATGGCAGGTGAAGGACGAGCCACATCAGCAGGCAAAGATCTGCAAAGTTATTGCCACTGCACATCACCATTAATGCAGCCCATCACAGCATTTATTACGACAACACCTCTCCGTCGAAATAGGACCCCCTTACCCTAAACAAGGTAAGCTACAGCATAGACTTTCGGCGAGGAGGGCAGGTCGGAAGGGACAGCGAAATGATTACCAAATGATATAAGCAAACGTTGAAGACAAGAAGAAGGTTAAGCTTTTCTATCTCTAATCTCTCCCTCTGCACTCTACTTCTCTTCCTAACTTGCTCGTCGAAGGGTTCACTGGGGGACTACCCAGTTCCCCGTTGAACTTGTTTGCAGGTTATCCGGTGGGCTTGATCATTTGGACATGGGCTTGAGGAGCTTGGACCAGTCCGATCCATTCACTGGAACAAACTGTATCATCAAGACCAATTAGTTCTATTGATTTTAGAAATGTAGATTTAATATATTATTTATAAATTGGATTTACTGTTACACCTTTATTTCTATTTTTTTTTTTCCTTTTGTGCTAGAAAGATAAGATACACAATCTATAGGAATCAAATTTGGGATGCATTTTTATATGGAATCTTTTTTATTTGAAATGACTTGAAATGTGAGATTTTTCAAACATTTTACTCCAATATAATACTCTAAACTTTTCCCAAGCTTAACACTCCAATATAACATTAAAAAAAAAAAAAAATCATTAGCATGACACTCTAATGTAACACACAAAAAAATTCCTTAGTGTACTTTTTAAAAATGTTGCGCTCCAATCTAACACTCCAAAAAGAAGATATCAAATTCTTCAAATCATTCCAAAAAGATGTGAGATTTTTCAAATCATTCCAAAAGGCGTACAAATTTTTTTTAGCAAGTTTTGAGTAAATGTATAATTTCAAACTATGAGTGTTACGTTTGGAAAAAATACATTAAGAAATTTTTTGGTGTTTATGTGTGTTATACTGGAGTGTGTTACATTGGAGTGTAACGTTTGAAATTACATTAATTGGAGTGTTACGTTTAGAAAAAGTATACTAAAGAGTTTTTTTGTGTGTTACATTGGAGTATTATGTTTGGGAAAAATACACTAAGAAGTTTTTTTTTTTTATATTGGAGTATGTTACATTGGAGTGTTATGTTTGGGAAAAATACATAAAGAGTTTTTTTTGTGTTTTATATTGGAGTGTTATGTTATTAGAATGTTATATTGGAATGTTACATTCTTATTCATAATGTGTGATTTGTTTCAGAATGAGGAAAAATTCAAAACATTTATAATGTGAATTGCCCAAATGTTTAATTTCATATTTGGATAAATCCACTTTTATCACTAAAAAATTAAATCCAAACATGTAAGTGACTACCCTTTTGTATAATTTCCACTTTATATGATCTTTGGGTTCAGAAAAAATAAATAAATAAATAAATAGTTTACAAGATCACATTTTGAGATTTATTGGTGCTTCATCCAAAGGAAAATTTACCTATAAATCTCATCTTGAAAAATGGTGACCCGATTAGTCCCAAGAGTTTTCTTCTAGACCAATTAGTCCCATTAATTTCAGAAAGATATATTTAATATATTATTTACAAATTATATTTATGGTTATACCTTTATTTTTATTATATTTCTTTCTTTCTTTCTTCTTCTTCTTTTTCTTCTTCGTCTTTTTTTTTTTTTTTTCCGGTTGTTTTTTTTCCCTTTAGCTAGAAAAGTAAGATACACAACTTATGAGAATCAAATTTGGAATAAATTTTTATACAGGAATCCTTTTTATTTGGAATGACTTGAAAGGTAAGATATTTCAAACATTTCAAAAGAATTACAAAAAAGACTTCAAATATGGGATTTTTTAAATATTCCAAAAGGATGTGAGATTCTTCAAATATTTCCAAAGGAGTACAAAAACTCTTTGGTAAATTTTAAGCAAATGTATAATTTCAATCTATAATACTCAAACGTAACACTCCAATGTAGTACTTCAAAAAAACTCTTTACTGTACTTTTTCCAAACTTAACACTCAAAAAAAAAAAAAAAAAAAAACTCCTTAGTGTAACACTCCAAAAAAACTCTTTAGTGTAACATTCTAATGTAACACAAAAAAATTTCTTACTGTACTTTTTCCAAATATAATAATCTAATATAACACACCAAAAAAATGGTATGAGATTTTTCAAACTATTCTGAAAGAAGTATAAAAATTTCTTAATAAACTTTGGATAAATATAATTTCAAAATGTGAGTATTACATTTGGAAAAAGTACACTAAATAGTTTTTTAATGTGTTACATTGGAGTGTTACGTTTAGAATTATATTGATTGGAGTGTTCCGTTTGAGAAAAGTACACTAAGGAGTTTTTTTTTTTTTTTTTGTGTTACATTAGAATGCTATATTTATAAAAAGTTTGGAGTGTTAGATTGTTACGTTTAGGAAAAGTACAGTAAGGAGTTTTTTAGTGTGTTACATTGGAGTGTTATGTTATTGGAGCATTACATTAGAGTGTTACGTTCTTATTCGTAATGTGGGATTTGTTCCAGGATGAGAGAAAATCCAAAACATCTATAGTGCGCATTGCCCAAATGTGTAATTTCACATCTAGAGAAACTTACCTTTATTCCTCAAAAATTAAACCTAACCGTGTAAGTAATTACATTTTTTCTGTAATTTTCACTTTAATAAGACCTTTAGATTCATAAGAAAAAAGAGATGACTAAAAATTCATAAGATTAAATTTTGAAATTTATTAATACTTTATCCTAAAATTTATTATATTTTTTTTTCTAACTCACAAGAAATATCAGTGTAATCTTAAAAAAAAAAATACTGGTCCTGATATTGACATTGTATTAATTTAGTGGGTCTTCACTTGCTAACCTATATAAAAGGACAATTTAACAGATAAACTCTTGACATGTGAGCTATCTACAAGCACAATTATTTGAAGTTCACGGGTGCATGTATCACTTGACTTTTTTAAAATTTTATTTATTTTATATTAAATTTTATTTTTAAAATTATAACACTTTCTATTATGATTCATAATTTAAAAAAACATTATGAATGAACTTTTGTTTTATAACAATTTAAAAAATGTTATATGAAATAGTTTTAATCAAATTTTCTTATCAAAATATATGCAAAAAAAATTAAAATTAAAAAAATTAAAAAATGGTCCCATCTAAATTTATTAGTGTGGATTCTAACAACTTTATGTCGGATTGTAATCCTCTTTATTACATATTTGTCATAGACAGGTTTAATTACCTCATCCAACGGTGAGTGTAATAATCTTTTCTTAATATAAATAACGATAAATTTATATTCTTACTTCGTAATCATTATATTTGTAATGGATATCCTCTATTACATATATGAAATGGAAAAAAATCTAATAAAAAATATGTTTAACATTTTTGTCATGTACCATTTTTTTAGAAAAATATTATATACTAACAAATTTCTTATTACATTTTCTTACTAGTTATATGTGTTTCACTTAAAAAAAAAAAAAAAAAAAGTGCCCGAAACTCCGCTTAAGTGGGGCTTGAAAAAGGGTTGATGTATGCAGTCTTAACCTTACAAGCGGAGAGCCTGTTTCCGCGACTTGAACCCATGACCTCCAGATCACCAACGAATAACTTTACCGTTATGCCATGTCACCAAAAAAATATATTTATATTTACAGCATTACTCATTTTTTCATCCTCCCTCCTTGCAATATCAAATTATTAGTATATATAAGTCTAAGTAGCTAGCAAAGTGTAAAAAGCAAAGAATATCTCCTCTCTCTCTCTCTCTCTCTCTCTCTCTCTAAATCGAGACTGTAAATGGACTCAAAATACGAGAGATGGAGCTTGGTGGTGGTAGGCTTGTTGTTGATGATGATGGTTGGTTTTGCAGAGTCAGACTTGGCGAAAGATAGAGAAGAATGTGCAACCCAATTGGTGGGGTTGGCCACGTGTCTACCATACGTTGAAGGAAAAGCAACAGGTGCTCCTACCTTAGACTGTTGCACTGGCCTCAAACAAGTCCTCCAAAACAGCAAGAAATGCCTGTGCATCTTAGTCAAGGATCGAAACGATCCTTCCCTCGGCCTTAAAATTAATGCTACCCTTGCATTAGGCCTTCCCACTGCTTGTCACACTCCCGCTAATATTTCCCAATGCCCTGGTAATCTTCTTTCTAACTAACTATACTCTTATTTTTATTTTTTATTTTTTATTTATCCTATGTGTATATACATAACATATGAATACAACTTGTATATATGTATTTCTAAACTTGATGGTGTTTTTAGAGTTACTTCACTGCTTGACTGTGGTGATCTATTGCAGCTCTCCTCAACTTGGCACCAAACTCACCAGATGCAAAGGTATTTGAGGATTTTGTTAACAGCACCAAAGGGAGCAATAGTACCCCAGCTGCAAATGGTACCATTTATATGCACCTTATTTATATTAGATGTTAGATTTGTCTATTTATATGGGTCTAGTTAACAAATGTCCCTGATGTATCAGCAAAAGACAGAAAAAATTAAAAAACATAAGTTTTTTTACGAAATTTAATATACTTTTATTAAAATCAATTAGCAGTTGACCCGTGTAATGCACGTGTTATTTTTAAAAAAAATATATATTTGATGGTACAATGTGTTATATAAAAGAATAATTTTAATTTTAATTTAAAATTAAAATATGATTTTAATTATTTATTTTGATAATATTGACGTTATCGTTCTATAAAATTGTTACTTGAATACATATATATATATATATATATTAATTTTAGATAAATTATTTGCTTAATTTTTTTTATTAGCAAAATAAGACACTTTATTGATGAAACAAGAATAAAATACATGAGCACTACAACATATAAGAGTTTTAGAGACAATATTTTGGTCTCTAAAAGTGAAAATTTTGTTGCAAAAAACATTTAGGAACCAATTTCTATCGTCATGAGGAGAGTCGTTAAAAAGTCGTCTTAAAAAGTAAAAAACATAGCTTTTAGCGACAATTTTGAAAATATCACTAATAAATAGACTTTTAGGGACAAAATAATTTGGTCCCAAAATGGTTTATTTTTTTAAACAAAAAATGTGATCCCAAAAAGATAATAATTCATCACTAATATCTAATTTTCGTTACTAAAAATATAATAACGATACTTTTTGCAATAAAAATTTTTGGTCCTTAAAAAATAATTTTATCCCTAAATTTTAGTCTCTAAAACTTTAATTTTTTTTTGTAGTTAAGACAATACATCAATAAAAAAGGCCAAGAGCAAGACATCATAGTAACTCATCCTACTCCCAACTAGGCTGGCATCCAAAGGACCACACAATCATCTGTAAACTAAAACTCACGTTGGTACGACACCAAGAAGGAAAAAAACAAAAGAAACATAACAAACACAACAGCCCCAAAACCAAACTACATCCCCTGCCTAGCACAGAAAAACAAAGCTGCCAACAGACCTCTCAACCCCCACCAATACATACTCGAACTAGGGGTGTAATTTTGGCTCGTGACCCACGGGCGGCCCGAAGTCCACCCGCAATTCGAGGTGGACCCGGCCTGTTAAAGTCCGTTTAGGCCCGGACCCAAGCTCAGCCCGAGGCGTTGGGCTAGGGCTTGGGTAGAGCTGCAAATGAACGGAGTCGTTCGTGAACAGGCTCGAGCTCGGCTCGGTAAGAACTCATTCGAACTCAGTTCGTTAATTTTTTTTTTACGTTCGAGTTCGTTAAATTTTTAATAAACAAACCCAAACATCCTTAAGCTCGGATTGTAAGCTCGGCTTGTTTAATATTAATTATTTATATACTAAATAATATAAAAATATGTATAAAAAATAAGAGAAATATGCTATTTATATATTTAAAAAATATAAATGTAAATAATAGTTAACTATAGATAGTACATTTATATAATAGTGGCAGTAGATATTATTATTTTAGTAAAATATGGACTTTTTTTTAAGTATGTTTATATATATTGTATATATAATTGTATAATCAAAGTTTTAATTGTAACTTTAGTCTCACATGCAAGTATGAATTTATAAATTTTTTAGCTCGTTAAGGTTCGTGAACAGTTTCGAGCTCAAATCGAGCCTAAGCCAACTCGACTTGAGCTCAGTTCGTTAAATTTTTATTCAGCTTGAGCTCGAGCTCGAGCTCGTTAAAATCTTAATAAATAAGTCCAAACATACTAAAGCTCGGCTCGGCTCGACTCGTTTGCAACCCTAGGCTTGGGCCATCATTTTGCAATCCGGTCCGGCCCACTGCCCAACCCATGGGCCCACTCAAGGCCCGCCCAAAAGCTCGGCCCACCCGAGGCCCAGTATTATTTTTAATGAAAAATAATAAAATTTTGGTAGAAAAAAAAAAAAAATTAAAAATTGTTTAGGCTCTCCCAAGCCTGCCCAAAACCCGAGCCCAGGCCCAAGCCTAGAGGCCTGACCCACTGGCCCACCCAAAACCCGAATACCCCTGAGATTGGACCTAGTTTTCTGGCCCGTCGCCCAGCCCGATTTTTTGACGGAAGCCCACAAGGCCTGACATGGGCCCGTCTCGGCCTGGCCCAGCCCAACCCAAGCCCGGATGGACCGGGTCGGGCCAAAATTACACCCCTAACTCAAACCTGGTTGGAATTATAAATAAAATCACTAACTATGTACTGACACTCATTTGATGATGATAACAGCCAAATAGCCATTCTAAATTTAATTAGGTTAGAGAATTCCCAAACATTAGCTTTAGCTTCTTTGAAGACGCAATCATTTCTTAGCTTCCATATAAACCACAAGGTAACGAGAGGGACAGTCCTCCAAATCTCCTCTCTTGCTTGTTAAACTTACCACTCTCTTACCAATTCAGCACAAGCAACTGTACCAGAAATGACCCATTGCGGCCCCCACCGCTTTAAAAAGGATAACCAAACATTTCACTCAAAAGAATAATGCTCCCACCAATTCAACAGATAAGCAACTGTACTAGGAATGACCCATTGCAGCCCCACTACTTTAATAACCCATTGCAGCCCCCACCACTTTAATAAGGATACAAAACATTCCACACACAAGGATAGTGTAGCAGCACATGAAGCATTCCTCTTCTTTTTAACAAAAGTAACACAAGTTGCTTATGGCCTATTTTGGGAACAATGGTAAAAAGCCAGCTTTTTGGTTTTTTGGCTTTTTTAGTCAAAAAAGTCAGCTTTTTTACCCAAAACAACTCAGCTTTTTGCCAAAAAAGCCACCAAAAAAGCCAAAAAGCCAAAAAGTCAACTTTTTACCAACTTCCCAAAACACCCCTATATATTTTGATAATTTTAGTTCTATCATATTATAAAAGTATAATTACTATAGAATAATTTTGTATGATATATATTAAATTATAAAATAGTAAAAGAAATACTCGTTGTGATATTAAAAATAATAATAAATTAGAAGAAGAATTAGTAACATAAAATTAAAATTAATTCTAACTATTTAATTTTCTTTTATATTCATTTGGAAAATAAAAATATGTAGAAATAGAAATTATATAAAATTTATTAAAAAAATAAATATAAATTATGTTGTTGTTGGATTATTATATAATAATTTTACATGATATATATATATTAAATTATAATAATTAAATTAAAATATTAACTATATAAAAGAAATTCAACAGCGACTAACCAAAAAAGAATCACATGTCAACATCTAAATCTAAAAAGAAAAAATAATGAAAACATCTAAATGATAAGTACATCTCAGTGTGTGAAGTGGTTAATGATCTGTGATATAATGTCAAGATATAAAAGAACCTGTTGTTTAACAATTGAAAAAGTAATTCAACAGTAAACTCAAACTTTAGAGGTTCCTCGAGAATATTGTTGTCGTGCAGAGTTTTCATCTTGTGAATTATGATTATATAAAATAATGTAAGAAATGAAATATAATTTCATATATAGAATCATTATAAAATTTAAATGACAAATCCATAATATAAAATAATATAGAATTAGTATTGGGTATAAAATAATGTACAAGAAAATAAGAAAAGAAACAAAAAGGTAATTAGCATTAAAAAAAAATCCTAATACTCTTGAAAGAATTAAGAAGAAAAACGTGAACACAAAATTAGTATTGAGTTTGTGAATTATCTCAATTAACGATGAAAAATAAATAGAAAAGAAATATTTGTCAAATAGAGTCCATATAAAATACATAAAATTAGTATAATTTAAACTAGGTTTGGATTTGGGTAAAACTTTATATATAATTAAAAAAATACATGTTGATGTGACTTTCTTAGAAAAAAAAAAAGTAAGGCCATATAATTGCTCCCTAAACATGAAAAAAACACTACTTTTAATAATATATATATATATATATATATGATATACCTTTTTCATTTTTACATATTTTCAAAATATTTTTTACACACTTCTCAACATTAAACAAGGCCTAGGAAGGACTTATTAGCATTTTCCTTCATAAATTTCGAAATGATTTAATTATCCTTTCTAAAATAATTTGTAATCACCATATAAAATATTTATTATATTTATATTGGGATAAATTACAAATGCATCCCTTGAGATTTGTTTAAAATATGAATTGTCCTATGATTTAGAAAATTAAAAATAATGTCATGTCGGAATTTTCTATTTAACAAAATTAATTAAAAAAAACTAAAATTTCAACTTCTCTTTTATATAATAATAAAATTATTTGAATTATTAATTAAAATAAATTTTTGATATCATTAAAAACTGTTAATTTATTTAATGGTTTATTAATAAAATAGGTCATTTTATTATGAAATTAAAAATTTTAAGGGACGGAAGGTAATTTTTAAAACTACAAACAATTTATATTTTAAGCAAAACCCAAATAATATATTTGTAATTTACTTTTTATATTAAGATTAAGGGTAAATTACAAGCACACCCACGGAGATTTATTTAAATTACAAATTACCCATGTGGTTCTAGAAATTACATTATGTCCCCTGTGGTTTCTAATTTCTAATTTCATAACAAATAGGTCATTTTATTAATAAATCATCAACTTAATTAACAGTTTTAAATAATATTAAAATTTTATTTCAATTAATAATTCAGTTAATTTTATTATTATATAGGTAAACAGTTAAAATTTTCATTTTTTTAATTAATTCTATTAAATAAAAAATTATGGCAGGGAGGTATTTGTAATTTTTCAAACTATAAGAGACAATTCGTATTTTAAACAAATCTCAGATGGTGTGTTTGTAATTTACCCTAAGATTAAGGGGTTGTTTGGGATAAACTAAATAAGTGCACTTTTTGACTTTTTATATGAGTTGGGTATGGGTTGAGTTTGAAGTGATGTGATAGAGAGGTGATGTGACTTAAATAAGATGATATAACTTAAACTTTTTATGAAATATGAGTTGGGTATGGGTTGAGTTTGAAGTGATGTGATAGAGAGGTGATGTGACTTAAATAAGATGATATAACTTAAATAAGATAGTGACTTTTTGACTTTTTGACTTTTTTAAGTTATCTCAAACCAAATCTAAGTATAGGTGATGGGACCACTATTGTTATTGTATTGAATTTCTCTTAGTAATTTTTTATTTTATTTTAAAGAGCAGCATACCCTACCCACTCTTGGTGTTTTTTTTATTTTTTTTTAATGTTGCCACGTGAGTGGTTAGTTATTAAACGTCGTGTATTAAATTGTTGCAGTAGCGCTTCTGATATCATGTCATAACCGATTGACCTTGGTCATTCATCACATTGTTTGATTTATGACAACATTAAATGATAAGTTAAGATCTTCCCTCGTTTATGACTGAAATGAAAATTTGTATTTCATTACATGAGGCTATAACACATTATTAAAATTAAAAATCAATGAGATATAACTATTATATTAATTTAAATTTTAAAATTTTCCTCCACTATTTTTAAATTTGAAATAAAATTTTGTTATAATGTTTACATTCGCAATTATTGATTATCCAATATAATGTAATAGAAAGAATTCAACATTAACTATCATAAGAGTCATGTTGCGCATCATAAAACTAATTTAATGGTGATTGTATAATATACAATAAAATATTACAACCTAATCTAATGGTGAAAATTTTTTAACAAGATTTTTCATGATATCTACCATTATTACTATCATAAAATGTAACTTTTTAAAGTCGGATCACAAAAATTTCTTGTGAGATTATTGATTGTACTTTATTTCATGTATGTCTTTATTTATTACTGACTAACTAATTTTGTCTCATGAATATGTCATTATTCATGGACTAACTAATTTTGTGGTGTTGGTTAAAGGGAATTCCACCAGAAACGGATCAATTTCTGAGATTAAAAGCGAAGGCGAAAGGGCAAAGAGGTGGGTGGTAGTTGAGATGGTTGGTGTGGTCATAACTTGTATGATCGTTCACATCTTACCAAGCCTGTAATGTCTCCACACTGTGAGCTTGTTTGAGGTGTGCCATCTATACATTTTCCATCTTGTGCCATTACGTATACGTATGCTTTGATATCTACTGCTAAAAAAAAAAACAAAAACTCTGATATCTGTCTCTGTCAGTGTTGCTAATTATTTAGGTCTACATTTCATGTTCGGGTGGGAAAATTATTGAATAGTCTTAAACTTTAATGTGATTTTTTACTTATGTAGTATTTTGGATCAATGAAAGATTGTAATTTGTAATATACACCAAGTGTGGGTCATCTTTTGTTTCCTAATTGGTTTAGGAGTGGCTGTATGGATGTGAGTAGCAGTAATACGGATAATATTGTACTTTTCGAATCTTTCTTGATGCATGTCATTTTCTTGTACCTTTAATTTTATGTTTTAATGAATTTTTTTTTTTTTTGCTGATCAAAAAAAATTGGCTAACAAAGTGAGTCAACATTATTGCACTCGTAAAGTTTTCCACCATACCATTAGTTGGGAGCATCACATGAACAATATCACATGATACTTCAAGTCTGTCCAATAATTACCTATTGGAGTGTACTCTTGAGAAAATTTGTATGCATGATGTAAATATTTTAATGATGTTTATACATACAACTTTTATAATCCCTAAAATCTAGAACTGTCATGAGCGTCACAAATAATCTCATGATGCAAAAAATAAATAAGCAATATATCCGAATATATTATGCGAAACCTTTGAATGATCCAAACAATTATTGAAAATAACCTTGATGTTGGTGAATTTTTTTTCTCTCTTTTGACCTTCTTTTGTGTTGGAAAAATATATAAGCAGAAGCAAATCGGATCGTGAGCATACCTTAACTCAGTAAGAATTTAAATAATGTTCTACATGTTGTTGTAACTTAAGATTTTATTTCTCAACAGTATAACCATATTACAATGATTGAAAGAGTTCTCAATTCCACAACTCAATCTGAATAGAATTGGCAGCTTATGAAGTGAAATCATTTGTTTTAAGGGTGATTTGGGTTAAACAAATTCATTTACTTGTGAAAAGATAAAAATTGTCACGAAATGCATGGAGCCAATCAATAAAGTGATCAACATGGAGTGGAAGTGGATGATTTTCCCAGTAAGGGTGTGTGAAGAACAGATTGTTGTAGTCCAAACAAGTTCAGAAGCTTGTGTTTTTAAGATGCATTCGCAACTGGCAGAGGATTTTAGCTCCAATGTTCAGGTTAATCAGGCCACGGAGGAGAACGTTAGGGAGCAGGAAGACGAGGATGACATGGATGCTAAGTCAGCTCATGAGTTGGAGCAATGTGATGTGTTGGCTAGAGGGGTTCTGACAGATGGGCAACTGAACAACATGGAGGTGGACAAAAAGGTGGTTAGGTTGAGTGGGACGGTAGTTGCAGAGTTAGATGGTGTAATGGCAAAGCAACTCATGACAGAAGCATGCCAAATAATGAAGATGGTGGGAAATCCAAATTATGGTTGTGCCGACAAGTGCCTAGAGTGTGTTGATCAAGTGTGCACACCTGGGTACATGACGAGTGTAAGTGGGTCTAGCTTACTTAAGCCGGGCCTAAGTTTGGAAGTGGCATTGGGCTGTAATCAGGTGTCCAATGGGTTGGTTGGGAATGGGCTCACGTATCAGATTATTAGCACAACTGAATAGGCTGGGGCAGTTGGGTATGATGCTAGGGAGTCTTGTGGGTCCAAAGCCCCATTGACTAAAAGTCTGAACCTGAAAACTAATAGAAGGAATAAAGGTAAGCAAAAATGGATTAAAAAGGATAAGGGCAAGTTTCAACCCCTGAAAAAAGGATTTTTTTGATCTAGTGAAGAGATATGGAAATAAGGGAGGATCAACAAGTAAACCAGCCTCGAAACAGTTAGTTCTCAGAGGTTCGATTGCAGAAGATTCACTTTCAGCTTCCATTCAGAGTGGTAATGGTGAAGCTCTCTTGGTTCTCACTGAGGCCTAAACAACTCTACAGTTAGGAAATCTTTTGGGTCTACAGTATAATGGTAAAGAGGCTGAAGTTCTAAGCAAAATTGTGGAGCTTGAAATGAAAGATAAGGAAAGGATTGGAGGGGTGAGTGGGGCTGTTGCATAGATTGTAACACTGAAGGGGTCTGTAAGGTGTATTATTTGTTTATTTATAAAGATATTAACATGGAATGTTAGAGGTATTGGTAGGAGTGAGAAGAAAGGAAAGATAAGGAAGATGATGAATGAGAGAAATGTGGATATTTTGTTGTTACAAGAAACAAAGAAGGCAAACATCTTAGAACAAGAAGTTAGAGCAATGTGGGGAAGGGATAGTATTGAGTTCATAGCAGTGGGCTCAGAAGGATCAGCTGGAGGGCTCTTATGTATCTGGGATCCTCAAGTATTCCAATTGGTAGATTGCTGCAGCAATATGAGGTTTATTCTGTTGTCAGGTTTGTTGTTTAATTCCTTTGATTGTGTGCTTTTGAATATATATGCACCTAATGAAATGGGAGCTAAAAGGAAATTTTGGGATAGCCTATTGAAGCTCAAAGAGGATTTTCCTAAACCTTGGTGTTTGTGTGGGAACTTTAATAAAATCAAGTATGTTAGTGAAATGAAAGAAATGGCTGATTTGAATGAGTTTATTGAGAGGTGTGAAGTGCATGACTTACCATTATTGGGTAGGAAGTAAACATGGGGTAACTCAATGGAAGGGGAGAGATGGAGTAGAATTGATAGGGTGTTGGTGGACCCAAGATGGCTGGAGGTGTTTAAGCTTAAACTGTGGGGATTGCCTAGGTGTATCTCTGATCATAGTCCACTCCTTTTGGTAGAGGATGAGAGGGATTGGGGGCCCTAAGCCCTTTAGGTTTGTTAATGCTTGGTGTTTGCACCCTACTCTTTTTCCACCGGTAGAGAAATCTTGGAAGGATACTGTGGGAGTTGGTTGGGTCGGATTTATATTTCTTAGTAAATTGAAAGCTCTGAAGTAGGCCCTTAGAACATGGAATAAAGAGGTGTATGGAAATGTTTCAGTTAAATTGAAAGCAGTTGAGGAGGAATTGCATCTCATTGATCTTCAGGCTGAGATTAGAGAGCTTGATCCGATTGAGAAAGTTAGAAGAAGAGCAATTAGAGAAGAGGTATGGAGGCTAAACAGGATGGTTACTTGGATGTGCTTGCAAAACTCTAGGTTGAATTGGGCTCTGAAGGGTGACAAAAATACAAGGGTTTTCCATGTGGTGGCTAGGTCCAGACAAAGTAGAAGTGAGTTAGCATCCCTTACAGTAGGGGATTCAGTAATTGAAGATCCTGCTATGGTGAAGAAGGAGGTATATGATCATTTTAGGCAGCAGTTTGCGGAGGATTGGATGGTTAGGCCCAAGTTAGGTGGTCTTTTCAAATCAGTTCAAAGCAGCTCTCAGTCTGCAATGTTAGAAGCAGAGTTTTCAGAGTCTGAAATTAAGGTAGCTATAAAGGATTGTGATGGTAATAAGGCTCCAGGTCCAGATGGATTCAACCTTCTTTGTTTCCAAAAATTCTGGAAGGTTATGAAAGGTGATCTGATCAATTTTATGAAGGATTTCCATAGGAATGGCAAACTGGTGAGGGAATTGAATAGTTCCCTTATCACCGTAGTTCCTAAGAAGGAGAACCCTATGGGTCTTTTAGATTTTAGGCCTTAGATCAGTGTATAAAGTCCTAACAAAGGCACTATCAAAAGGTTAAAAGCAATGCTCCCCTCTGTGATTAGTGAAACTCAATCAGCCTTTCTTGGAGGTAGAAATATTCTTGATGGTGTTCTAATTGCTAACGAAGTGGGGGATGGGTGGAAGAAGTCTAAAAAAAAGGGTGTGATCATTAAACTTGACTTTGAGAAGGCCTATGATTCAATGAATTGGGGATATCTTCACTCAATGCTTTTGAATTTTGGATTTGGTTCACGTTGGACTGAATGGATCAGGGAGTGTGTTTCAACTGCTCAAATTTCAGTGCTTGTCAATGGTTCTCCCACTAATGAGTTTTGTCCTCAAAGGGGCCTTAGACAGGGTGATCCACTGTCCCCTTTCTTATTTAACTTGGTGGGTGAGGGGTTGAATTTGTTATTAACAAGGGCATATCATATGGAGGTTATTAAAGGGGTGAAAATAAGTGTTAGGGGAGTGGTGTTGTCTCATTTACAATTTACAGATTCTTTTGTGTGAAGTTGAAGATGAGGTGGTAAGAAACTTAAAGAGGATCGTAAGGTGTTTTGAGGTGATGTCTGGATTAAGAATTCGTTACCATAAAAGTCAGGTTTGTGGAGTGAGTGTTCCTGTTGAATCTTTGGCTAGATTTGCCTCTATTTTGAATTACAAGACGAATAAGCTGCCCTTACTGTATCTTGTGATGCCCTTAGGATCTAATCCTAGTTGTGAAGCTACTTGGAAACCAGTGTTGGACATGGTTAGAAACAGACTAGCTAGCTAGAAGAGAAAGCTTCTATCCTATGCTGGTAAGCTTACTCTCATTAAATCTGTCTTGGCATCTTTGCCTGTGTACTATCTTTCTCTGTTTAAAATGCCTGATGGGGTTGCTAAAGTGATAGAGAGGTTGCAGGCTTCTTTTCTTTGGGGAGGTTCAGAAGTTAGAAGAAAGGTTCATATAGTCAAATGGTCAAAATTGACTAAATGCTTGGAACAAGGAGGTCTGAGATTGAGAAGAGTGAAGGTGGTTAATTCTTGCTTACTAATTAAATGGTGGTGGAGATTTGGGTATGAAAAGAATGCATTGTGGAGAAATGTTATTTGTAGTAAGTATAAAGTGGATTTCCGCGATTAGATTCCTTCTCCTTCTTCCACTAATAATATGTCTAGTGTTTGGAAATGTATTATTACCATTGCAGAGTCTAAAAGTACACTTTTGGAGTGTTACTTGAATAACTTCCAGATTAAGATTGGGAATGGAAATAATGTTCGTTTCTGGGTGGGCAGATGGTGGAATAGTTCTTGTCTTAAAGATGAATTTCCTGTGTTGTACTACTTGGTGGTGGATAAGGAGAAATCACTTTGATCCATGTTTGACAGAAAGGTTTCTGAAGGGAATTGAGAGTCTCTGTTCAGAAGAAGGTTGTATGATTGGGAGGTTGCTAAGGTTATCAGGCTCAGAAACTATCTTGTGGCAGCTCCAATCTGTGTAGCAGATCAGTTTGATTGCCCTGTGTGGAAAGCATCATCCTCAGGAGAGTTCTTAGTGCGCTCTATTTATCAAGGGTTGTTAGCTTCAGTTAGCCTTCAATTAAGAGTAAGTAAACTGGGGTGGCTTTCTTACATGCCCCCCTAAAGTCCAATTTTTTACTTGGATAGCTTGGAGAGGC